TGATGATCTGTGGTGGTTTGCATCATTTTCACTCTTTGAATATATCTCAAATTATCTCACAACTGTCATGGATAAGGACATATATTTTATAGGAATAACAGAATATAGAACATAATATTTTATGGGAACAGTAGCTTCATCATTACTTTTTTTAAGTGTGTTTAAAAAGCACAAAATTTGGTATAACAACCAAAAATTTATGTAAATGTTAAGATTTTCCCATTTAGAGCTCAGAAAATATTTGAAATCCTATTATTTTGACTGTTTCTGTTCCCTTGATTTATTATTTATGGTAATAATGAAATCAAGTCAGCTCCTGTAAAAAGTTTATTAAATCCCATCTATCCTGTGGAGTAGAGAATTGGGAAAGAAATGATGGAAAGAAGACAACCCCATGCTGTAAAGAGAGATGGAGAAAGATGAAAAAGAGTGATTAAGGAAAATTAAACTGGGTTTAAGCATTTCTTAGTTTGTAGAAGCCAAAATACCAACAGCTGTGCTGTCCTGGTTTGCATGTCTGTATTGAATTCCTGATTTTTCTTTCTGTAGTTTAGAAAGAAATCTTTGAAATAATTTTAACATACGTTGGTATTAAATTATTTTATGATTATTCACTTAAATTTTAATTTGTTTTATAGAATTGCATATTCAGAATGCATTTTATGTATTCAGTGTCAAAGCTTTTGAGGTATTTTTAAGTTAAATTTATTAATGGCAGGTTTACATAAAACAAAACCTAAACTTGTCAGTGCCCCATATCAGAAAGGTGTTAAAGACATGACCAGTTTCAGATTAATAAAAGCAAGTAAAGGCATCAGCAAATAAGCTCTTGGAATTTTAAATTTGTAGGGAAGAACCTGTCCCAGGTAAGTTGTAAAGGGCACAGAAAGAACTGGCTCCTGATAACAGAGAAAACAAATCCTTGGACACCAAAAATCCACCTTCATTAAAAACCTTAATTCTCATTGTGCTGATATTGGTTCAGCATTTTATTATGGCAAAAAAGGGGAGTGTGTTGCTTTTTATCTGAGGTGTTTATCCTATTTCAGTTCTCTTGTGGCAACCTGAGCTCTTGGCAGACTGACAAACAGATTTAATGGGATGAATATTTCACTTATTTCATGGAAAAAATTGATGGATTGGATTTGAACTGAATTGGTTCCTTCCAGAAACTCACATTGTGCCTGCTTGAAATGAATACAATGCCCCGGGGATATTGGTTTTAATCAATTATTTTTAATTATTAACTGTATAATCAATTGAAGTCACGGCTTATAAATTGCGAGTTATAAATTATAAATCTTAAATGAAGCTGATGGTCAGATGCTTCCTCTGTAGATGCAGGGGGGTGGTAACTTGCTTTGGTAATACAGCCTTTCTGGCTTCAAAGTAATTCTTTGGATAATACTGGGGATGTGTAAAATATCCCTCTGTACCCCAGGGCTTGCAGAAATATTCTGTGAATAACACAGAACTAGGGGAAAAGAAAATAATACTCTTATTATTTTACTCATAATTAAGCTTCCTAATTGTAATTAGCACCTCATTTTTAGCACACAGGGCATGTTTTAATGAATTTTTTTCCCCCTTTCCCAAGTGCATTTGAAGCGTCACTTCATGTTCCGGAACCACCTGTGCTTGGTGTTCGAGATGTTGTCCTACAACCTGTACGACCTGCTGAGGAACACCAACTTCAGGGGGGTGTCCCTGAACCTCACCAGGAAGTTTGCCCAGCAGATGTGCACAGCTCTGCTCTTCCTGGCCACCCCCGAGCTCAGCATCATTCACTGTGACCTAAAACCCGAGAACATCCTGCTCTGCAACCCCAAGCGGAGCGCCATCAAGATCGTGGATTTCGGCAGCTCGTGTCAGCTGGGACAGAGGGTGAGCACCACTCCAGATCCTGTTTGCACAATATCATGAAGTCATAATGCTCAGCTGGCTCGTTTAAACTTCACACATGGTGGCTTTGAAGTAGTAATTTAAGTTTAAACGGGGCGCGAGAGAGCAACAGGTACGAGTTCCAGAATCCCGGAATTGTTACGGTTGGAGAAGACCTGTCAGGCACAGGGTGCCTCTGTGCAGGACTGGATGATCCTTGGGGGTCCCTTCCAGCTCAGCATATTCTGGGATTCTGTGACTTTTAAAATCATCAAGAGGCCTTTTAGGGTCTTTTTGAAGAGGCCTTTTAAGATCAACAGGTCCGACCATCAACCAGCACCACCATGTTCAAACCACATCCTCAAGTGCCACATCCATATGTTTTTTTGAACACTTTCACACTCCACCACTTCCCTTTAGTTCCCCAGTAGATAAAAATCCACCAGAGTGATAAAATTTCCATCTTTTTTTGTTCTCCTGGGCTGTGTTTTTGTGCCATGTCAGTGGAAAATGCATCAGCACTTGGTTGTACAAGTCTGCAGTGCTGTGAAATAAAATACTCTTTTTATTATTATCTTATTCCATATATGTTACCTTTAATCACCTTATTATTTTATTCCATATGTATTACTCCTTCCACTTTGGCCTGTCCTCTGTTTATTACTGGTTATACTACAGATTGGGTCATTATATGAAGTGAATTCAGAAATTAAAGGATTAACTTTAACAAAATTCCCCAAATTCTCACTTGAGGAGTTGGGATTGGCCATTGCTTTTTTCCATTGTAATTTGGGAAGAGCAGGTGAGAATACTGAACACTGCAGTGAATGCAGAGGATCTTGAATATTGCAGAGACATAGATTTACATTAATTAAAGGGCTTTTAATATATATAAACTATACACTAGAAACTTTTCACCCTGGGGTAAAGGGAGACACGAGGAGGTGAAATGACACCTGGATTATTTATGTCAATAATAAGATGATTTTGAGACATTAAGAAGCACAAATACAAATCAGTGTTCACATGAGTAAACCTGCACCTTTTTTTGGAAAATATGAATATTTTCCTAAGAATTAACAGTGGCATATTTTTATTAATACAATATATAGATATTTTGAGTATCACTGAGACCTTTCCCTGCACCAAAATGTTATTTCCTGGGAGTTGTGTTTTGTCACGTGGAATTGTCAGAATGCCCTTGGATGCTGTTTATGACCTTCAGATGTTTTATTTCAGATATACCAATATATCCAGAGTCGTTTTTATCGATCACCAGAGGTGCTACTGGGAATGCCTTATGATCTTGCAATTGATATGTGGTCCCTTGGGTGTATTTTAGTGGAGATGCACACTGGAGAGCCTCTCTTTAGTGGGGCAAATGAGGTA